CACACACACACACACACACACACACACACACACGCATCTTTTACACAAGGCGACAAGGACCTAGCTCCCATAAAGTTGAGTATTGCTCCTTTGAAGCTCCTCGGTTCGCGATCATGTATGCTATCCTTGCTCTCCTCTCTTTGTGTTTCAAAGTTTTCCATGGGAAGGACGTGTTCAACGTTCTTTGGTTGAAAAGTGTTCGGAAAAGTTCAAAAGTGTTCGACTTGTTCGTGATGTTGCTGTCTTCGATGCTGCCACTTGTATGTCGTTCTCCGCAGCTCCCGTTTGAAAACCCCATGCTGTCTGCCTCCTCTCCTTAGAGGGCCTGCCCAATCCCTCCTCTCAGCTTTGGACAAGCTAGTGTCTTTGTTGCTCGAGCTATCCTGTGCAGCTAGACCGCTGCAAGACCCCCCTTCCCCGTGCAGTGCGCTCCGGGGCATGGTGGTTAAGCTCATTGTGGCTATGCACGAGGCATTGCCGCACGTCTATGGCTAACCCTAAAGATTGCCGCTAGCGTCACGGGAGCAGAGCGCTACGGCGCCGGCTTCCTGCTTCGCCCCTCCTCCCTTTTGCTATTTCCTTATGCCCATATTTTTGTCTGGGTATTTCTCCATACTACTAAAGGAAGCAAAGGGCCCGGCAACATGCCTGGTTGTGGGCCCAACGAAATTCGTGGGAGGAGGCGGGAGCCGGAGAGGAGTACTAAAGGAAGCGAAGGGCCCGACGACATGCCCGGTCGCGGGCCCAATGAAATTTGTGGGAGCAGGCGAGAGGCGGACAGCCCCAAGAAGTAAGAAGCGCATGAAATTCCAAGCGCTTGGCGAGAACCAGGAGCAGGCGGGAACCAAGCAGTGGGACCGCTTTGGGGGCGAGGCCGAGCCGGAGAGGCGCACAAAATTTCAAGCGTGTGTCAGAAAACCGAAGCGCCGTAGGGGATAGCGGGGGCGAGGCGGGCCCAGACGCGGGTGGGAACATGTGAGCGAAAATGCAAGCGGCTCGTTGCAAGGGCAGGTGTGTGCAGGTGACGGTCGGGAGGGGGGTCAAGCCGACGCGCAGCGCTCGAAACGAAGCGGGTCGTGGCGGGGATGTACGTTGGGAGGCCGACGAAGTCCGAGGTCGAGCGCAGTGCGGACCAAAAAGTGGGACGG